CATTGTCAGTATTGATGATAGAAGTGAATTGAACAATTAGTTACATAATTTACATTTGCACAATGTGATCAATGAATAATGATGTAGAATATCTGCTACCGATTTAACAGTCAATGTGATAAGTACACACTATCCAACAACTAACCGACGACTTTTGTTTGAGTGATGAGATTTGTTTCCTGGATGTCACATCTTATCACAATCTATACATTACTCAACAAACTTATGACTGACGGCTTTACTGAAGCAATTCATTCAGGATACACATTTCTCAACAAGGAATCAGAAATACTTGATCTGTACTTCAACAATGGGAATACCAACTTTCACCTATTATCCGAACATGCTACAAATTTTAAACAGATTACGCTTCATCATTCAAACTGATACCATCTGTATTCTTCAACGGTTCACGTGGATATACGGTTTCAAATGGAACATCGGGAATCACTACACATTCTATGAGCTAAAGAATTAACAACTTTCCACATGGAAATAGAGCATTGCATTCATATGTGCTTCAATATCGTATAAGTTACTTTGATTTATGCACTTAGGGTACACTAGAAATCAGTACTAATTCGTAACAATACAAATGTTCTTCCGAAAAAAAAAGATTGCAATTTGGCATATCGTAATATTAAGAACAATCTTTGAAGTCTACCAATTGCTTACTTCTTTTTGGCAACCATTTACTTCGAAGACATGAACATCTCTATCATTGCTCTTAATGCATATATTGGCTGATTTACACCAAATACACGTTGTATTCAATGTTGTTGCGCCATGACATGCTTCAATCGAATGATGATTTGGACAATCTTCAGTGAAAGGAAGAAGAAGGTGATTGCATTTCAAGTTATCAAACAAAAGATAAATGAATTACAAATACAAATGTAACTGTAACTCAATGATGGCGATTTCGGAGTTAAATGAGTATTTCATTCTCTAGGCATTTGTCATCACATTGCTCAATCCGAAATTCAATACACTTTCAATGTGATTCACATTTCCTGAAAACATGTTGGAATTAAATAAGATTACGTTGCATGTTGAACGATGAAATTTGCCAGGGGAATGTCACGGATGTCAATGACTATTAATATTAGAAAAGAAATGTACACGCTAGACGGTTAACGAATCTCGGTCCTGCTTTATGATTGAAATATTTCATGTGGCTACATTCTACTCTGTGTCATCAGTTAGCATGTTAGACTAGTTGGTTCACGAAAGTTCGTCGATAATGAATAATATTCTAGTCAACGAATATTGAAGTCGATCTGGACATCAGATTATGGAATGATTCTCTCTGTTGTTGAAATATTATTCCAATAGTTTAATACATGATGAACAAATCAATGTTTGTGGTTATTCACTGTACGTATTCAGGAGAAAGGAAACGCTTCCATACTGTGAAAACCCTCAGGGTTTTTGATACTGTACAAATGTTTACTGACTATGATAAATTGAACTTTGAACACGTGAATTTTCTACTCCTTCAATCTATCGGATGAGTAGGTTAAAGTAGAGAGTTTGAAAACTAGACAATTGTTTCCAAGGCAATAACAGTTTCATGAAGTGTTTCTGTAATGTCAATTCCTCGGTGAAATTCGATATTGCATGTACCAAATGAAAATCAAATAACACTTCCCAGTCAATGCACAATCAACTAACTGACTGATATCATCTCATCCGTCGTCTTGCGACATTTTGTTCAAGTAAATTTCATCAAACTGTAAACTTCTGTTGTAGTTCAAAATGTGTCTATAATCATTTTAAATGTTCAACAGTGAGTCGTTGTTTGGTGTAACGTCAGTTGAGACTGATGGCTTGATATCATTTAATAACTGTCTGAAATGATACATGAAAGTTCCAATTTTATGAAACGAAAATGATGCATTGAAGTGCGAAAATAGTCAACTCTGATAAAATAGGGTTTGACATACCCCCGAGAACTTCGTATTCCACTAGCGTTCCATTTCTGATCCATTTAAAAGGAACTTTTGCAACAGGCCCTCTACTACCTAATGTGATGAATTGTACAGAAGAAGACAGTTAAAATTCAGATAACCATTTTCGATATAACACGTTGTTTGTTCGTTTAAGAGGCGATAAAATAAGAAACTGTTTATCATTTGATTACAGATACAATGACTGTCAAATAACATCCTTATGAAATATGCTCTACATCGTTTAAGGTTCTGAAAGTGACCGATGTTCAACCACTAAATGAAAGATGATATCGTCAAATTGCTGATTTGTTTCACTAAAGTGTCAGTGCAACATCTACAGAGAAAATATGTTTATCTCGTTACAAATTGTTTCAGAAATAGTCAATATTGAGAGGCTGCAAGTTTGACTGTCTATTAGTGGGTGAGTGAATAAATGAGTAGATATATCGTCTGTCTAGTATCCTCGTTCATATATTCCTGTCTGGATCGTTAAAACTATACAGAGGACTTCTCCAAATATCTATCCGCCAATTCGTGATGAAGACATTCACACATCTTAATTATATTACTCGGTATACCAAGTTAGGCAAGCGTCAGCTGACGTCGATCTTGAAATTCTTTTTGATGGAGCTTAGCACAAAACGATAAAACAATACGATTCCGATTGAATCACAACAACTCAAATCTGCTTTGCGATATCAACGAGGATGACGGTTGTTGAATTGAGAATACAAGTACTTTGGTATCAATTTGAAAGACAAAATATTTTCAGGATGAGTTTAGATTATGAATTTTTATTACATGTGACACTTAAATGTTGCTTCAAGATTTCTAAGCACCAAATTGACGTTGAATTTTCAATACACAGTCACATTGGGACAGTGAGTTTGCCTAAATTATTCAGATTCTATTTCACACAATTTTCCTCAGCACTTCAACTTTACACTTCCATCGCTTTATTGTACAAACAAAAAACAACTGAATATTGTAGACTGTAAGAAACACAAATTCGGTCACCATTATGGATTACAGAAAATCTTCACGTTGACATGGTGATGATTGTGTACAAACAGAAGGTAACATCGTGCTAACAGATGACTACTCATGCAAGTCAGTGTAAATTAAAATGTAAATAACATTTGTTACCTCCATCCCCACACCAGATATAATAACCAATGCCCGATATAACATCGCCTTCCTTAAGTCCTCCAGGAATCTGAAAAGAAGTAACGGAAGTCTGAGTTAAGATCTGTCAATTCACAACCATTATATCAAAACCAACCAAACATTGAGGCAATGTGTCGTCATTCACATTATCTTATTCGACGACAAGTAGTTACACTTACAGTAAGCATACTGATCTCCCCGGTTCCCTAAGAAATACACTCCATCTAATTTACAAAGATATTCTGACTCACCTCAGTTGACAACTTCAGTGAAGTTAGATCAACGATCTATTTATCATGGAATAAGGCTGTACATAGTAAGATGAATATCTACGTCCGTTGGTAGAATTGTGATTGTGAATAACTGCAATGTCGCTGAACGTGGATTTGTTGTTCTGTTGTGGACTTGTGTTTATGTGCCTACTTATATTAATTGCCGTTCAATTCTCAACAGTATTCATTCCACAATTTGTTCTGATGACCTTCAAACAAACAAGACGGACTCAGTTCAACACTCATAAAATTTATCATCGCACCAGCCATTTCTAGTCATCCAGTATTAATCGTATTACAAATCGACAAAGTTCTAATTAGTGACATTCGAACAAATACAATGTGAGAGGCGATCAAGATTTTAACACCATCTCTCTCATAATATTCAATTATGAACTTTTCTAACAATTGGTCTGTGGAAGTCTGAAAATGACCGTTCACGTACAGAACTCTGACATACACTCTTTGTCGTTAATTGGCTCGTTGGTATCAGAATTTGGTTACACATTACATCACTTCTCATTATTTCATAAAAAGTGCTTGAATAAACTGTTTCATGAGCGGATTATGAGTAGTTTCATAAAGTCTGTATGCGCAATACAAATTGCTGGTATCGTTTTATCCCTTTCAATATATTTCGATATATTTGACAGTACTGATATGCATGAAACAATAGAATAATCCATTCATTTGTGCAACTTACGTTCTCATAATAGAGATAAATCTTCCCATTCGAGTGTATCAGGTACATTGCCTTGAATGTATCACCTGCAAAATAGAAAACTATCGATATTTAAAATTTCAAGGATTAGTGTCGAGCATGTCATTGCTAGATGTGACATTGTATGTGCCTACACACACAGAGGGATCAGATGTTAGCAGATATATACTGTGTTATCTGAAATGTTTTCGTAATGAAAATGATCTCTTGAATGTTGTGTGAATGAAATGAGCATGTTTCCTTCATAATGAATGTCAGATGCTTAGTTTGTTTAGTTTTCATATTCAAACAATAAATCATATAATTTCTAATTGGATCTGGTAGTTGTAGTGGTATTCAAATTGGTGGAATATTTCCTTTATTTCAACTGATACAATCGACTCTAGGCTTAAGTGAAATGGGCTGCTGTTTGTTTGTTGTTTATAATCGGTTTAAATTTATTCATGTAACACATTGGTATGTCAGTCGATCAAATGACTTTGTCCACATTATGTGTTAAAGATGAGAAGTGAATACCCTTAATATGTACTGTTTTAACGATCTCTTAATTTGAAAGAATAAAAGTTAAGAATGATAGTATAATGAATGAATATCCAGATGAATGTGATGTATACAGAAATGATTTTCCGATGAACACATATGTACAGACTTGTCATCATGTTCCTTCGAGACCTGTCAATGAAGATGAATCACTGTATTCGTTTATCTACAAATGAAATATGATAATGACCTTATGTATTCAAATATGCATCGACAATCAATGGATTCTATGTGTATTTCGCCTTTGATTTCGTAGAATGGTTACACTTGAATACTTTCGTCAGTTTTTTCAAAAGACGAATTCAATTACTCAAATGGAATAGAAAACAGTTGAGTAATAACAATCAGTGAAGATGATGATGATGATGATGATGATGATGATGATGATGATGATGATGATGATGATGATGATGATGATGATGATGATGATGATGATGATGATGATGATGATGATGATGATGATGATGATGATGATGATGATGATGATGATGATGATGATGATGATGATGATGATGATGATGATGATGATGATGATGATGATGATGATGATGATGATGATGATGATGATGATGATGATGATGATGATGATGATGATGATGATGATGATGATGATGATGATGATGATGATGATGATGATGATGATGATGATGATGATGATGATGATGATGATGATGATGATGATGATGATGATGATGATGATGATGATGATGATGATGATGATGATGATGATGATGATGATGATGATGATGATGATGATGATGATGATGATGATGATGATGATGATGATGATGATGATGATGATGATGATGATGATGATGATGATGATGATGATGATGATGATGATGATGATGATGATGATGATGATGATGATGATGATGATGATGATGATGATGATGATGATGATGATGATGATGATGATGATGATGATGATGATGATGATGATGATGATGATGATGATGATGATGATGATGATGATGATGATGATGATGATGTAAAGTGTTCATAGTTCACATGGGATCAAACAATCATGGATATGGATACATACTTTTATTATCAATGTTTGTATGACATGACTTTCTGACAGCAAAATATTCCTCTGAAATAATGAAAGTAAAATAAATTTATGTTCATGTATCTGTATAATGAATATTTACCTCCTTCAAAGAACAAAATGTGTTTGAACACAAGTTATGATGTTCCTTTTCAAGATTGAAGTGAACCAATCCAATTAAATGAGAGTGTCAATGATCTGCATCATTATTTCGCCGATATGATGAATACCCTTCATCTTGATATTCTAGGTGTTCTAGTTCGAATCAATCATGTTGTACTAGCACATTATTCGTGATTGTTCATTGATTGGATGGTTGAGTAGATGCATGAGTTCAAACCTCATGATCAACCGATTATGATAATCAAGAATGTATCCAATAGTTCAACGACAGTGAATAAGAGGGACTGAATTTTTAAGAACCAAGTAAGTGACAGATAAATTTGGAGGACACGAAATATAAATTATTGATAGTTCATGTGCTTCAATAATCCAAACTGATTTCTCACACAACATCGCTCACTAATGCATTTGTGATCAGCTTGATTCGTTCAATCTATCAAGAAGTGTCGTATTGATGAAATATCAGTTTTATGATAGTTTGAACAGATTGAAGAGTAGATAATTTGCACCTTCGCATTCACATCGTTTGGTTTATTATTTCTACTCCATCAATTTGTGTCTACTTTGAAGTGAATCACTGTTTTATTTAAGATTTTCCCTTCACAGTAATGAAAACATGTTGTGAACACATTTTTCGGGCATGAGATCACACAAATAAAATAATCACTGTGTACTGACCAGCTCTCATGAAACAATCAAGTTAGATGCTGAATCAATTATGCAAAATAAAAATGAGTAATGTAAGACATAAAACAAAAACACGTCACTGTATAATAGAAGAACTCACCCCCATTCAAAGTCTCAGTTTCACACTGAACATTGCCGGAGATAGAATTGAAAATTTGTCTTGAATCGTCTTTTCCATTTAAAAAAATTTTACCTGTGTTTATCAAATGAAAACATGCAATTTGATTAATAATCTACCGTGAATGAATGAAACACTGTGAAATTCACTGGAGACTAAAATGAATCGGATGAACTGTAATTAGTTTACTACAACGGTACAACTTGAACAAAGAAATACATTGGTAGATGTATTGAATGTGGGAAAAAATGCATAAAACTGATCTATGGAAGTAATGAAAGTCATATTGATTCATGGAATTGAAATGTGAGTAATCGAAACTTTAATTCGAGGAAAATAATTCTCTTACCAGAAAGATCTATAGCGAATGAGCTGCGATCAGCACCGTAAAATATAAAGGGGAATTTCAGATGTATTTGCTAGAAATATACAAACATATAGATTATCATCTTCGTTGGAAAATGTCGTACACTCACCTTCGGATTATCCAATTTCTCAAACTTTTCACTAACAATTGGAGGGGATTGATCTAGGCGAATGAACTGGGAATAGTGATAATAATGAGACTGAATATTTGTAATGCAACTTGACTGATCACTTACATATTTATATGTAGCAGTTTGGAAAATTACTTTTCCTTTACTAAGTAAATCAGATTTTTCACAAAATTCATGACAGTCGATAGATTCCGATGTGAGGACAATGATTGAATAGATCGTTACCAACTGACCAAATGGAAATGTAGATCTGAAATGGTTCAAATGTATAGAGCAATGTTATCTCATTAGATCAAATTGAAATGGATATAATACAATCATTTGACTTAAGTGTACAGTCAACGCTTACATCATTTTCTTGTTTTAGACGTTGGTAGAACGTGTTGCGTCTTATATAGAATTTTTGGAAGTGTTTGTATGTTTCTGTCAGATTGGATGATTCAAAGTGACCATTAAGATGATGAAATTTCATAAATTCACTTCATAATTATTAACCAATCGTCATAGGAGATGAACTCATGGTTTTGTTATAGTCTTACACGTATTGAGGTAATATAGTCCGATATTGATCCATAGTTTATTGAAATTCCTGACCCCACCCCGTTATTGATGAAAACTATTTTGAACAGGATTACCAATAATTTAAACTAAGTAATTAGTGCTCATATTTTCATGAACAAACAAACCAACTGTGAGTTGGTTGTCAACGCTGCATAGTTTTGATTTGATTGGTTGAAATTAAAGTAGCACACACTGTTTTCATTAGATGACCAAAATTCACATTTTTATGTTTAAATTTTATTCCAATAAAATGAATTCTTTCACTTGTTGAAATCATGAGTCAATTGAAGCTAGATCACCATGGAAAATCTAGAAGCACTTGACGGCCGTTCCTCAGCAGTGCGCATCCACGATCCCGCCCACCGCAACATCCGCACCCAGGACCTCTCAGTTTCGCGCGCGATCGCCTAACCGTTAGGTCACTGAGCAGGCCAGCACATAACGGTGTTCATGTCTCACTTCAACCAATCCACGAAGTTGCGCCACCGTCACCATTGTCTTCAGTGATTTGATATCTGACAACAGACATGGTTGAACTCCACTGGTAGCGGCTTCTCACTAGAACTCCATGAGTGTCTCATGAAGTCAGTCACTAGTGAGCAAATGATTGTTATCAGGATAGGTTTTGTGCACGCGACACTGATATGTCCTGGGTTCGAATCTCACGGGGTGCGGCATTTTGGATGTGCACTGCTCAGGACCCCAGACTAGGATGAAACAACCGTCCAGTGCTTCCAGGTTTTCCATGGTGGTCTAACATCAATTGATCATGATTTCAATCAATGGAATGAATAAAAGTCCATAATTTCGTAAACCAATAATCATTTCATTGTGAAACGCCAACAATATTTATGTTCTGATAACATTTGTAAAATAGTAATTCTTGATAATATGAAAGTGAATTGTGCACTTCGAAAACATGATGATGATGTAGCAGTAAAAGTAGTATTTTTAGTAGTAGTAGAAGTAGTAGTAGTAGATGTAGTAGTTCTAGTAGTTCTAGTAGTTGTGTTAGTTGTAATAGTTGTAGTAGTTGAACTAGTTAGTTGTAGTAGTAGTAGTAGTTGTAGCAGTAGTAGTTGTAGTAGTAGTAGTAGTAGTAGTGGTTGTAGTATTTGTAATAGTTGTAGTAGTAATAGTAGTTGTAGACTTTGCAGTAGTTGTTGTAGTTTTAGTACTTGTAGTCGTTGTAGTAGTAGTAGTAGTAGTATTTGTAGTAGTAGTAGTAGTAGTAGTAGTAGTAGACTTTGTTTAGTTGTAGAATTATTAGTAGTTGTAGTAGTTATAGTAGTGAGAGTAGTTGAAATGGTTGTAGTATTTTTAGTAGTATTAGTGTAGTACTATAGTTGTAGTAGTAGTAGTAGTAGTAATAGTACTAGTAGTAATAGTGGAAATTAGTAGTAGTAGTATTAGTTTGTTGTTGTAGTATTTGTAGTAGTTGTAGTAGTTGTAGTAATAGTAGTAGTTGTGGTAGATGTCGAGTTTTAGTATTTGTAGGAGTTTTATTTGGCGCAGTTGAGTATTGTAGTCGTAGTAGTTTAGTAGTGTAGTGGATGCAGTAGTTGTAGTTGTTGCGGATTTTGTAGTATTTAGTGTTAGTTGTAGTTGTAGCCGTTGTTGTAGTAGTAGTACTAGTAGTAGTAGTAGTTTTATTAGTAGTTGTAGTTGTAGTAGTTTTAGTAGTTGTAAGTTGCAGTAGTTGTAGTAGTTGTATTATTGTGGTATTTGGAAGTTGTAGTTTTTGTATTAGTTGCAGTATTTGTAGTGTTAGTAGTAGTTGTAGTATTTGTAGTAGTGGCAGTATTTGCAGTAATGTAGTAGTAGTAGTAGTAGTAGTGATAGTAGTAGTAACATTAGTTTTAGTTGTTGTAGTAATTTTTTGTAGTTGTAATAGTTGTAGTAGTTGTAGTTGTAGTAATCGTAGTTGTAGTAATTTTAGTAGTTGTAGTAGTTGTAGTAGTAGTAGTAATATTAGTAGTAGTAATTTTAGTAATAGTAGCTTAGACGCAAATATTCAAGTATCAGTAATGATCAATCTGAACAGATTTTTTACTATTGACGTAGGACCAGCAACATATTTCTTGAATGTAAGACTTTTTCTGCAGAGTATGCAATATATGATTTTCATTTTTACCTTGAACTCTGGAATGATTTATCTTCTTATTTTGAGCAACATCTGACACATATAGATCTCGTGACTTCTAAAGAATTTCTACTTTCACCATAAGAAGTCGTAATTATTTTAAATTAAGGTTTTGCATAACACGTAGCGCTGAATTAATTTAGTTTAGTTGATATTTTTAGATTAGAAGTTTTTGAAAACATAGTTACATATATAAACAATGATGAACATTCTCATCTGTTACCATGGAAATGTTTGTAGATGGTGTGATTTGTGAATTAGGAAGGTCACTTCATAAGTATCGGAATGACTTGTAGTGAGATTCCACATTTTTTTTATCAATATAATAATACTACTAATAATAATGGCGATAATAATAGCAACGTTGTGTGATCATAATATGTAATAAAAGGAGTAGTATAGTCAAGGTAATTACGAAGAAAACGAATCAATGTGGATTAGGAAAGAGATAATCACAAAAAGAATTGGGATAATAGGTTTATAACATGAGTTTGAAGTGTCTGCGGATTCAGTTGTAGACCACGGTGAACATGGAGGCTGTATATACCACTTCTCGATATATTAGTTCGGTTTTCAAGAGTTGGTCCAGATAACTTCAGTTATGCTGAGTACACGTAGTCTAGCTCCTATTATGTCCGTTTATATATGCTTACGTAGATGACAAACTTATAGCAAGCAAAGATTAAAATGAACATCTAACTCATCTGAAAATTCTTTTTGAGAAGCTAAACGACTATGGGTTGGCAGTCAACCCTGACAAATGTTAGTTCGAAAAACAATCCCTCACCTTTTTAGGTCACGTACTTGATAATCAAGGCATTAAACC